CTATTTGTATTGATATGGTGTTGCAGTGTCCATTGGTAAAGAATGAGTAAAGCACAAGTTGTATCTGAACTCCATAAACCAGCACGTATTAATTACAGACGACGTCATGTTGTAGTTAGAGTCCGACCACGATAACTTTGGGACAGCACGTGGTCGCGTATGCATTGAATATGCATATGCGTTGCGTCACATGCTGTCCCAAAGTTAACGTGGTCGGACTCTAAAGGTTTACATGATTTGCTACAGTGCTAGCTTAACGGTTAAGCTAGCAAAACCCATGATTTTTTTAAAAAACAATGTGCGAAAAAATCGGCAATGGGCTAGGAGTAGAGCCTCAAGGCTCAAATCAGCCTCAAATTATGTCATCATTAGTTTCGTGATTGTACTTTTTTTGTTTGCTATTGGTTTGTCATGTTAATGTTGGATTTGGGAAATTTTCTGCAGAAAATGATTCCAAAAAAATCGATAATAGGTTCAATGAAGAGCCTAAAATTAGCCTTAAATTATGGTGTACTCAATATTTTTATATTCCTTCTATTTGAGATTTGGTTCTGCTAGCTTAACGGTTAAGCTAGCAAAACACATGATTTTTTTTAAAAAACAATGTGCGAAAAAATTGGCTATAGGCTAGGATTGGAGCCTAAAATTAGCCTTAAATTATGGCATAATTAGTTTTGTGATTGAACTTTTATTTATGAAGTGGTTCTGCTAGCTTAACGTTAAGCTAGCAGAACCCACGTTTTTTTACATAAATCGAAGAGCAATAAATTCGGCAATAGGGTAATAAATTAGCCTTAAATTAGCCTTAAATTATTGCGGAAGAAAAAATGGAAAAATTCAAAGTGGTTCTGCTAGCTTAATGGAGGTTTGAAACAGTAAGCTAGGGGTATATTTTTCAGACTCCTAAGGATGTTTCGTTCCATCACTGTGCGGCAGCTTAAACTTTCTACTGCGGCGCAATTTTTCCCATACACAATCATTGTCTTGGTATACACTGAAATGGAGTTGTTATCACTCTGGAAGAAATCTTATTTTCAATCTGAAGGCATTTGACTTTGAACTAAAAGAAAGTTCACCTGCGGTGCATTTTTTACCGTACGGTCTCAATTTCTGGTAGCTACTTTTGAAATGTCAATTTAAAAAGTAAGTACTATTTTCTCAAAATGTTTTGTCGCTGCTAGCTAGTCAAAAAATGAATTTATTTTCCATTGAAAAGGATTCGGAAATCACTTACGGTTTGACCAGAAATTAGCCTAGGTCGAGAATTTTGAATGGAACCCCGTAGATATTTTTTAGTAATTGAATAAACTCAAAATAATCTTTTTTCAATGACATATTACAAGTGCACATTTGTTTTCAAAATGGCGTCGATGGAGACATATTTTCTAAAATCAATATGTCGACACTGTGACGTCATCGATCGAATTTTTGTCAAGCAACCTGACAAATAGCAAGTAAACGAAGCACATCAATTGGTTTTTAATCAAACATGGAGAAATTTGCATTCATCACCAAGCAGGATTTTTTTGGTAGGTAATTCTTTCAAATGACATTCTTTCTCTCGAAGTTGCTTCAAAATTTCAAATAGAAAATGTATTTCTGTCAAACCAACATTGAAGTATAGGCCAGTATCTACAGATAACTACATCTATGTTGAAGTTAGGTTTTCGAAATATTTTTTTATACAGACGTAGTTATTTATTCAGTTGTTAATGAAATAGACAATCTTCAATGATTTTTCTATCGAAAACAAAATCAAATGGCGTCGTTTCAAGCCTGACTCATACTTCAATGTTGATTCAAAAAACTACCATTTCCTATTAAAATTCAATTCATTTGAAAGAATTAATAAAAGGAATCCTGATTGGCGATAATCTGAATTTTCGTATTTTTTGTATCGCTTGGTGCGTACGAAAGGAAATCCCTATAATGTTCGAAGAACATTGTGCTTACCTAGGGAGGATAGGGAGAGGAGGTAGGTGTTTAATTTTTTTTTTTAACTTTTGGAGATTATACGTTCTTGGAAATACTTCCTTTGGCAATAAATTCTTTCCCGTTCTATAGAGAAACGAGTTTTGATATAGTGCTGTTGACAACGAAAGGATGTTCTGACTGCGCTTGTCGAGTTTTTCTGGCTGGTATTGCTAGTCGTGGAATGATAGCATCTATAAATAAGTGACTGGTCGCCGACCTTTCTACGGTGTTCCAATTATGTCAAAGTATTAGTGAGTGAGTTCTTAGTTTCCTGGGAAGAACTGGGAATCCTAAAAGAGAACGCAGTATGGAGGGTACTATCATCTGCAAATTTGTGAATATGGCGAGTGGTTGCTCCCAACAGATCATTGATATGAAGTAGGAACAATGTTGGTGACAAAATTGGTCCTTGTGAAACGCCGAAATTGATGGCAATGGTAATTTCTTCCTTCCTTTGAAAAATTTCACTCCACTTTGAGCAATATAGACTTCTACCAAAGATTTTTCAAATGGTAGTTCAAGCTTCAAATTTCAATATTCATCTCATGGAAATACATTCATTGACCTACTATTGATATGACAACACAATGAGCATTACCTTTCAAATAATATGTCTGCACTCGTTCAATGAACGGGTACAGAAAAATGACATTTCATCTCTCATAAAACATATTTGCGTCTCATGCTTTTTGTTCAGCTGTTTGAAAATATGACAAGTGTGTTCACATTCTTTAAAGAACGTACATCTGAAAATCAACAATTTAGAACAACGCATAGACACATTATTTACATCAAAAACGCGTACGAAGTGTTGAAAAAATTAATTCAGGTCTAACGACACAGTGGAGTAATATAATTCCAATTATTCACTACCAGTCCAGTAGCCCATTGTCTATGCAGCATATCTTAGACTTTTTTCTGAACAGATCTGGTTTTAACTGAAATCTGTTCATTACGGGTAACATTTTCAACACAGCAAACTCTACTTCAGATTTCCAAGGAAAAGTGGAGCCAGACATTCCACCCGTTGAGAGTCGAATGCCCGAAATCGTCTTCCGTCAGCGCACTATCAGACGAATTTTGCTTGGTCTCAAAACGAATAAGGCTACCGGTCCTGATGGAATTCCACCCATTATCCTTAAAAAATGTGCACCAGAATTAACACCGATTCTCTGCAAGTTCTTAACCGTCTCGTACAGGTCGGGTATTTTTCCATCATGCTGGAAGACAGCTAGAGTCAAGCTAGAGCAACCAATCCTTAAAAAAAGGGAACAAGAACCTACCCAACAACTACAGGCCCATTGCCCTGTTATCAGTAATCTCCAAAGTGATGGAGAAAGCCATCAATATTGAGCTTATCCAATATCTGGAAAGCTCAGGAATCATCAATGATAGACAATACGGCTTTCGCCACCGAAGATCTACTGGAGATCTACTTGCCTACGTCACCCATTCATGGCAAGCTTCATTAGAAAAACAGTGGGAATCTCTAGCTGTCGCGTTGGACATATCGAAAGTATTCGACCGTGTTTGGCACGAAGGATTCTTCCACAAACTAGCATCATACGGCTAACCACCTCAGCTATGCCATCTCTTATCGAGTTTTCTTTCAGGCAGATCGCTTCACGTGGTGGTGGACGGTGTATCGTCTGATACCATTGGCATCAATTCCGGCATTCCCCAAGGATCAATTATGGCACCAACATTATTCCTTCTTCATATCAATGATCTGTTGGGAGTAACAACTTGCCCCATCCACAGCTTTGCAGATGATAGTACCCTCCATACTGCGTTCTCTTCCAGAATTCCCATTTCTTCCCAGGAAACTAAGAACTCACAGCGCAGGCAGGTCAATGCTGTCAATGAAGACTTTGCTGAAATCACAGCCTGGCGAACCAACAACCTAGTTGAATTCAACGCCACCACAACACAAGCCTGTATTTTCTCTAGAAAGGCGGAACTCAGTATGACCGATATTGTAATGTCTGGCACCACCATCCCCACCAAGCCCACCATATCTATGCTCGGTATTTCCATCAGCAACACTGTTTCATGGGATAATCATGTCAGATCCATCGCAAAGCTGCTTCACAAAAACTCGGATTCTTGTTTCGTGCGAAAAGCTACTTTACACCTCAACAGCTTCTCATGATCTACAAAGCGCAGATTCGAGCTGTTCTAGATTAATGTTTCCACATATGGGGTTCAGCACCAAAACATACGCTGATCCTCTTAGATTCTATCCAGAGAAGAGCCATTCGCCTGGTGGGTGACGCAACACTCACTCACTCTTTTATATCATTGGAACACCGTAGAAAGGTCGGCGACCTTTCACTTTTCTATTGATACTTTCACGGGAAATGTTCTTCGGAAATCTCTGCTATCATCCCTTCACTAGCAATACCAGTCAGACGAATAAGACAAGCCCAGTCAGCACATCCTTTCGTTGTCACTCTCGAAAGATGTCGAACAGCACTTTATCAAAACTCCTTCATCCATAGAACGGCTAGGCTCTGGAATTCATTACCTGAGGAAGTATTCCCAACAACATATAGTCCCCAGAAGTTCGAAAAAAATTCCAATACCTACCTCCTGTCCCTATCCTCCCTAGAAACGCACGATGTTCTTTGAACATTATAGGGATTTCCTTTCGTGCGCTCCAAGCGATAAAAAAAATAACTCAGCCTGTGTATCAATATGAAAATGAAGTAAGCATTCACTTATATTATACAGTGACCTTCAAAAAAAACGATAGTGAAAATTGTCTTCCAATCTAGAAGTCTTTGTCTTGAACCGTTTATCTGATTTTGAACAATTTTGAAAATACGATCAGTAAAAATTGGCTCCCAATTCCAAATCTGGCTTTCTCTCGAACTGTTCATCTGGTTTTGATAATTTTTTTCCTTCGAACTATAGGCTGATTTATCAGCAACGATTCTTTGTAGACATTTTCATTATCTTGATTTGAGCAAGAATGTGAAAAAAAAAATTCCCGGCTTAGTGTATCAATGTTTTTTTTATTTCAGGAATCGGATCTGACATTGGTGGCTCTATCCGCATGCCTTCCTTCTTCAATGGAGTCTTTGGCCACAAACCGTCACCAGGAGTAGTGCCCAACCATGGTCAGTACCCTGAACCACTCACAGAAGAACAGGCTCGGTTTTTGGGCCTGGGACCGATTTGCAGACGGGCTGAGGATTTGTTGCCCATCATGAAAGTTATCGTTAATCAGAATGGAAGGAAGTTGAGGTTAGATGAACCGGTAAGTCCAATAGTTGTAATATTGTAAGAAAATTATAGGAATTTCCTTTCGTGCGCTCCAAGAGATGAAAAAGAATAGATCTCTCAGCCAGAGCCAGACAGTACCACTGACATACAAACACCAAATGGAATAGTATATTGTTTAACGAGCGTTTTTCTTGGAACATTAAAATAGAAATTCATGTTTTTATATAAAAGTTCCGTGAGGTTTTTACTAAAGTCAAGTTGTGGTTTGAACTCGTTTATATGATCCATGGTTCACCGGAGACCCTGTATATACCTATTACCTACCTATTATTCAAGAACGCACTATACAAATATAAAAATTAATTTATAGTATTCATTTTTCTTGAAATTTCCCTTAGAATCTCATTTGTAATGTTCGCTGTGGTAAATTTATTTATAATTTCAACTTCACATTAGTGCTTTATCTATAAGGATAAATTTGTTCTTCATGATAAAGTATAAGTTCTATTGATAAAGAATATTCTCAGATAAATTATGAACATAATAAAATGGAATATGGATATACATATAAAGATATACATATTGAGAATTCGCATTCTCTATGTGATAAAAATATCAATTCTTTCTCGGCTTATTCAACAGAAAACAACTACTTTTCTGGCTATATGCCACGACGAACATTGAATTATATCTATTGAACACACACGATAAGTATTTGAAAACTAAATCTTCTAAAGTTGAGAATTTGCATTCTCCTTCAGATAAAAATATGTATTTGCACATAACGTCATTCTGAATATTTAACAGAAAACAACTACTCTCCTGGCTATTTGCCACGTCGAACATTCTGTTGAACATCCAAAAAGAGAGCAAGAAAAGTTGAAATCCTTTGAAATTGAGAATTATTGACAATCTCTCAAATCTGATAAATAATATATGATGTATTATGACATAAAAATATAACTTACCAATATGTCCAGTATTGAAATGAAAATTGAAATGTATAGGAGAACTATACTTGTATAAACTCTGATCTTGATGAGCTTCGAACTTTCAAAAAAATCATTCGTATCAGTGATATGGGAATTATATCTCTCACAAACAGATTATATGACTTCATTCGAATCAAGTCATTTCGGATTTTAAACCCTCCTCAGTAACCTGAAGTCCTGTTATCTTTTAGCCATCCTTCATGATATACACAATTTTCATCTCTCTATTATATAACCATAGATTAATGACCCCTAGATATACACTCTAAATGGGGATTTGGTCAACATCAAAATTAGTGTAACAGAAAATTCACAGAGGTCTCTAGTATCCTTGGTGCGAATAATCCATTGAGTTTCAGACCAGTTTGTGGTTTATTTATAGCGCATAGCACGCGCCAAACCAATTGGGAACAGAATTAAAATAATTATTGAGCATTATATATTTGTCTGATACACATTATAGCATCATGATAATATTATGAATCTTTCATATAAAAACACTTGCGAAATGTTGAAAACATGAGTTGAAATGCTGAAAAGTTGAGAAGTAAAACATTTTTATAATGGACGTTGGAAACTTGAATAAGAGAATAAAGTACCTATGAGAAGTTGAAGTGCAGAAGAGCTGAAAAATATGAGCTTTAAGAAAATTGAGAATTTGGGGCACAATGTAATTCAGGAAGACAGCAATAAAACAGTTGAAGAGATGAGGAGTTGAAAATTTTGAGATATTGAAAACTTGAAGATTTGTGGAAAAAGTTGGACAATACTAGAAAATTTAAGAGATGAAGGGTTGAAATTGTAAAAAGTATGAATTGAAACATTTAACAACGTAAAAGTGAAAATTCAATTTTGGAAGACTGAAGCACGAAACAGTCGCAAATCCGATGAGGGTAAAAAAATTTAATGCTTTGAAAATCTCAGTAAAAAGTGTTGATATATATTATGTATGTGTAGTGAAAACTTAAAAGCCTATGGGAGATCTATCTAAAAAAAAATATGAAGAAATTTTTTTATGAACATGGGTCCGAGAATGCATGGTTTATGAGATATACGATGTCAAAGTTGAAAAAATAGTTTTTCTACAATCGGCTCAAAAGTCGTCAGTTTTTGGTAAAAAAAATAGCTCTTGAAGTTCACGTTTTCGTTACTGTATGTTGCAAAACAATGTACTATTTTTTATCAATATCTTGAAAACGCTTCGATTCGACTCAAATTTCCATGGTTCATTTACAGAATTATCAAACATTCACTGGACCAATTAGATTTGATCCAGAATGTCCAGGGGCGTACTCATCGAGCAAATCGGCTATTTTTTTAGGGAAAAAAGTCACCCTGTTTTTTTTGTTCTTGAATATTCAGATAAACCCAGTAAAAATACAACATTTTTGTAACCTGTTTTTTTTTTTTCGAGAAAAATCAATATCATACCTCGGCATATCTCTGAACTCCATAAATTTATTGCACATTATTATTCATGGAAACAAGAAAGACATGAAATTCATTATGCCCCATTTGAAATGTATATGATCTTCAAATTTTGTGAGAAATATTTCATTATATTAATGAAGAACTAATTTTTTTTAACTTGGATACCCGATATCTCGGAAACGAAGCATTTTCGAATCCATGTGAACTTTTTTTCATATTTTGTTGAGAGGGGTCTTCCCTAGGCTTGTGTCACTACAATAGGCAATTTCACAATGATTGAGCATTTTTTATATGGCGAACGGTCTCATACATGACTCAGTATGTCGAATAGCACTTCCTCTCATCTATTGATTCCTTTACAACCGTTTAATTAATACTTCAAAAGTGCTACAAATCGAGAGAGTACCAAACGACCTTTTTTCGCGGTGTGACGTCACTTGTATTTTCTTGAGGCTCCCTCTGACGACCCAAAGAGGATGCTTTGCACAAAACCACAGACACAGAACTCGAGCTCAGAGTGGTTGGGTGATCTGTGACTTGGGGAAAAAATGGCTACAAAACAAACTATAGAAGAAGAAAAAGATTAACCTCGAAATCTAGTTCATAGTTCATTATTTCATTTCAATTTCAGTGATCTATCAGTGTCATATTAGTGATATTCTTTCAAACTGAATTAACTGAAATATTTCACTTGAACTGAACTGAATCAGTTAATATGCGTTCTTTCAAATGACGTTCATTGCATGTCACCTATTCAGTTCAGTTCAAGTGAAATGTCTCAGTACGTTAAGAACGAAAGAATATCACTATTATAGTTTTTATTGAGTAACAAATGCAATGACAAATGGTGACAAGACCAAGTGACAAGACGAATTACACGATGAGAATGTCCGTCCGGAGTGTATGATGCGGTGACGCACCTTGTATTCGTCCAATGAAATGCCATCAATATTTCGCGCGCATTCGAGCTATCGTTTAAATTTAGGTTCAATTTAATAATTTTTTTCTGGGTCAACCGCGATCGTAAGAAAATTGAAAAAATGCTGTCAGTATGTGTTCTTAATCGTGAAATTCCCTATTCTGAAAGAATCTGTATACATTATTTCTAGAAAATATTTTTTTAGTTGAATATTCATCAACAGACTATTATTATTTCATTTTCTACTTATTTTTAGTTTGGCTATCTATAAGAGCGTGTTTCTCCAGTTTTTCAAACTACTATTCATGTTCTACTTCTGGTTAGTTCGGCAAACTATTTTTGTTTTTCACTTCTTTTTAACATTCTTTTATTATTATAAGAAAAAAACAATGAAAGTTCCAAAGTCTGTCGACCAAAAAATCTTTAATAAGTAGTGTAACTAGTTTCGGCCACAGGCCATTATCAGACACAAAAATTGATGTAATGAAGTACCTAAAAGATATTAAGAACATGGTTAAGGAGTCAAGAAGGGAGTCAAAAAGTTGGTATACTAACCTCAGTGATACATATCAGAAGCAAAATTTTTTTAACATCATCAAGAGCCAAGGTCGAAAAAACAAATTATCAGTCCTGAATGTAAAAAGTATTAGTTTTGAATCTGGAAAAGGTCCAGTAGAACCAGATCAACATGATATTAATGAACAGATACATCTGAAATTGAAAAGTTTCAAAAAATTCTCTCACATGAGATTCATCAGATTATGCAAATTGCAAATGGAAGATAAGACAGAATTCTAAGAATCAGAAAAATCAAAATCACATGAAACGTGAAACATGACAAAGAACAAGTGACACAAGTCAATGTCAATCACACATGACATACAAATAAAATTGATATAAATGATGACCAGAATCATGACAATGACAAGTGACACCAGTCGAAAGTCAAATATGACAAAACTAATCAACATTGACAAACCAAATAAATTTTGGAACAACAATGGGAACAAGAGATTGGGAGGAGAAAAACAATGAACCAATATGGGTTATAATAAGTTTTGATGATAATCATTGGAATTTTAGAGTACGAATAATCAAGCTACGTTCAAAATTGGTTTGATCATTAAGACAAGTGGAATTAGGATCATTTATACAATTTTGAATTTCTAGAATCTCCAATAGGTTCAACCTAGAGCCTTTATTACAAATGTGGAGAAAATCCATATTCTCAGATATATTGAAATTATGATTGAATTCAATTATATGGCTTGAGAAAGAGGAACTAGTGTTAAAATTATTAATGCTCCTATTCCTAGTTATCAATCTATTATGTTCAGAGGCTCTAATTTCGAAACTCGGCCCAGTTTGACCAACATAGGAGGAGTTGCAATCGTTACAATTAAGTTTGTAAACTCCGGATTTTTTAGAAGTAGGAATTTTGTCATTAGTGTTAACTAATAAGGTTTTAAGGTTGGAGTTAGCTTTCAATGAAATATTGAAATTGAAACTGGAAAACAGTTTTTCGAGTTGTACAGAGTAACTGTCAAAATAATATATAAAGATTTAAACAATGGAAGTTCCTTATCCTGTGTTGTTATAACATTGAATGATAATCTAAATTTTGTGTGAAATTCAAAATAAATTTCCATTATT